CAGATATTGCAATGTCCACTATTCAGACTTCTTTGTCTTTCTTATCAACAATTGTTAAATCTGGGGTGTTGTGTGGTGAGTGTTTGTCTGTTTGAATTCTAAAGTCCCAGAGCACTTTAGCTTCATTTTCTATTACTTTGTCTTTGTCTGAATTATTATTACATTTTTATCCTGCCTTTTATATATTTTGGTCAACTCAAGGTGGCGAACATACTTAATACTCCTGCCTTCTATTTTCCCCACAACAACAATCCTAAGAGACAAGTTGGGCTGAGAGAGAGTGACTGACCCAAAGTCACCCAGCCGGCTTTCATGCCTAAGGCAAGACTAGAACTCACAGTCTCCTGGTTTCAAGGCCAGCATGAAGTTCCATACATACCAGATGGTGGAGGGAAATGAACAGACCGTTGTTTTTGTTTGTTTAAAACTGGCACCTTCTAATCTGCTGTACCTCAAATGTATTAGGGCTGTCACTACCAACATTCTGAGCTGGTATTGCCCAAATCCTTTGATTTTAATTTTGTCAAATAGCAGCTGCAGGACCAGAAGCTTATCTTCTCTACCCCCACCTCCCATTTTCCTCTCTTTTCTTTATCTAAAGACAATTGGGTATTTATGGTAGGATTTAGAACAATGCTTGGCTCTCCTGTGGCTACAACCCTGAGAAAGCTGGGAAGCAGTGCTGAAAAAATCAATGTTGCCCTTCGTTTTACTCACCACCTCCCTTCTACCACCAGTAATGCTTAAGAAGTACCCTTTCAAGTCCTGCTGTTCTGTACTGAACATGCCAGACAAAGCAATCTTCTTTTATTCTTGTCCCAGCTGAATACTCAGCATGGCTAGGGTGGCCCAGATACCCCTATCTGCTAAAACCCAGCGGCAATCCTCCACTGGCCTGAAATCAGGACCTTTGCAAAATGCATCTAGCTGTTCCCGTGGCTTCAGAACTAATCTTGCCAATAACCTGAAATCCTTAAATGACATGTGCTGTCCTTGAATGCATTTATTATTACTTTCCTTTTCTCAGTACACTAAAAGCAGCGCTGACATTTTCATTTCAGGCTTGAGGTAGGTGAGATATTTATGTAAGACTCATATGATATCATTAATAATAATGGCTAAAAACAGGTAAGTAATGATAACCAATTCCCTTCATCTAGGTTTGCTGCACAAGACACAGTTACACATCACTAGCACTGCAGTACTCCCATCTAGGCTTTAAGAAACCTATTTTTCTAACTATCCTAAACTCCAAAATTGTGAAAGTTATTAAATACCAGGCAACTTCTAGTACCTAATGGTAGCATTACCTGAGTGAATCAAAAGCTGTGCAGGTCTCACCAAGCAGTTCATTCTGATTATTCTTTATTTGTATTTAAATTTAATCATCTTATTTGACCAGGTAAAAAGAAAGTAATCAAATTAAAATCTTTTAATCAGTTGGAAGCCCAAGTACACCATGTTACTGCCAAGTTGGTCATATAACCATCTGGCCATGAGCCAAAGCATATTCTCTTTGAAGCAAGGTACACCAACCATCCAAGGGACTTACCTTTAAGAGGAATCACATTATATTTTTGCATGTAAACCTGAACAGATTTGGAATAAATCCCTAACATTTCAGTAGAACTTATTTCTGAGGAAATTAAGTTTCTGCAGTAAGCAGCACTTTTTTGGAAATAAACTCTGGGACAACTGAAATCGTGAGAATCTTTGATGCTCCTGTTGAGATCAAAATACTTATTTATATGTAACCATAGGAATGCACAGAAAAGAGTATTCTGAATGCTTTTTCTATCAAAAAGACATAGTGCTGATCATTCTGAAATTATTCCACGTTATGCTGGGACTTACATTAATCTCTTAGCCTACATGATAAGAAAAGCATTCCACTGGGAATGATTCTGTCTAGACACGCGTCAAAATAATCCTCCTCTGCTCACAACTACAAACTAACAAATGAAAATCTTCTACCAGAAGAGTTTTGGGGGTCAAAAAAGTCAAGATGGTAACCATGATAACACAACAAAAGCCCTGCCCTTTTATATGTTCATCATGTAACGCACATAAAAAAGGGGCAAGTCTTCAATCAAGTGGTCCCAGCCCCTCCCACCATGGATGCTCCTACCTTCAGCCTACAGTATTGTTAAAGATTGAATCTTTGCAGGTGTCCAGCTCCAGTAATAAATCCACATCCATATGCAGGCCTCATTGTCATACAAATACATATGTGTTGGTCCCATAACTGCATGCATGCATTCATGTTTCATATCCTTGATTCAGAAACAGTATATGATTGAGGAAAAACCTAGTCCTGTAATTTTTTCATACCCTCCTACTGAGGTTTCAAGAAAATCTGGATGCTCTGTATGAAATCTGAACAGTTTACTTGCTGGACTACTTGCTGGACTACTTATTTTATCCACTACAGCTCATACTTCTATCAGAGTTGGAATTGCAAGGCTCACAACCATATCTATAATGTAGCCTGCTGAAATCTTAATTGATCCTATGCTGTTATATCCCATTCTTGTGTTCATTGTAAAAATGCTTGGGATTTAAGATATTTTTATAATTTTACAGTTTAATTCTATTTTGTACTATTACATTGGCAATAAATATAAAAAGCAAAGAAATTGTCTGCTGCATAAGCAGTAATAAAAGGCAAACAGTACATTTTATAGATACATATATGCACACAGTATAAGATTTCACTGTAAGCTTTCCTCAACTGACTACCTTCTGGATACGGTGAGACTACATTTCACATGCAGCATAGCTGTTAGCGTGTTGGCTGGGAATTATGGAAGTTACAGTTCCAAAACAGCAAGGCACCAGGTTGACAAATTCAGTTTCATATGGGCATAAAGTCCTTTCTGACAATTGCAACAGTTTTTGGAGGGGTACAATTTTCAATGAAATGAGTTGGGAAAAAAAAGCTACTCATAAAACTGCAATAGGAAAAAAACATTTCAATAATGTTACATTCAGAAAAGTGAGCATTTCCAGTGCATTTTTAAAAAGTGAACCATATGGCAAGAAGTGTCACTTGCCTCACCCATTTCAGCCTCTGGAATGCAACAATAGTCTGTATAACAAAAGCAAATAAAAGGTTATTAACTCCCATGTGTCTGGCCACTCTTTTAAATTCTTTTTCCCCATTTAATTTCACTGTATTTAGTTTCATTTCCATCCTTTATATTGTTCAAAAGGAAACAAAAACAAACAAGCTCAGAAGAAATGAAGGTAATGCTATGTTAACCTATTAGAATATTAGTGCCTCACTGACTCACTGACAACCTGCCACGTAACCTGAAAAAAATAGGTAAACATTTGGTCAATTTCCCAAGGTAAATTGCAGATAGCAGCTAGTGGAGGTAGGATCCAGCAGAACAAATACTCATGTGGTTGAAAGTTGAGCAGCAGTTAAAAGACTCTCTCTTCTGCTTTGCAAGTTGTATTCTTGCTATTTCCTTTGCTTTAAGTCAAGGCAGATCTCACTATTGCTGACAGAACATTTGCTCAGGCCAGAGAGACTGTTAAGGAACAGGGAATCCAGCGGTACCTTAAAGGTTAACACATCTTTAAGCAAAAGCCCATGCCACAATAAATAAGCTACTCCCTTAAGATAAGAAATAACTCTTATTTCAGCTACGTTTGAGGTAGAATGGGTCTCTAGAGAACATCAACAGCTGTCCATTTCCATGGGGATAACCAAAGAGGTCTCATAGCCAGTGTGTAGAAAATTCAGAGGGCAACGATTTAACGAAACTCAGCCCCACTGCTGATTCATTGCTGCCAGAATATTGCTCACTCTGAAGTCTTCTCCTTTGAGGGAGGTGGTGGTGTGAAGTTAGTTTACTCCCATGTTTAACACACACACCTCTTAGCCCATTAAACAGAAATTGTTCCTAACAAATGTGCTATTCTTAGTAGCCCAAAACACCTGGGGGGGGGGAAACCCAGATGTTTATAATGTTTACCAATGCCCACCTACCTCAATCAAAATCTTTCAACGGTTTTGCTTTTGTTCATTCACATCCATTTGAAAGAAACGATGCGCAGCTAAAGTGGGTTTTCCTCTACTTTGACAGGG